CCCCAGCCCCTCTCCCGGCTGCTCTTCCTTCTCCCGGTGCCACCTGCCCTCGTGCCCTTGAGCTGCCGCCACCCCGGGGACCTCCCTGCGGAGCCCTCCCTCCCGCGCCAAGCCGTGGGGCTGGGCCGGGCTCCTGGGCGAGCAGGGTGCAGGGCTGGCGAGCTGCGTCCGGAGCTCAGGGACCGGCGCAGGGAGCCCTGGGGAGCACACGGTGCTGACAGGCAGCTCGACCTGCGCGCAGCAGCGCTCGCCTCCCGGGAGGCGGCTCTGAGGCTGCCCGGAGCCTGCACCGTCAGGCTTCCCAGCGCCTCGAACACGTGTCTCGGTCATGAGGGGCTGATGCTGCTTGTGACAGGACAAAGTCTGCAAGTCTGGCTGCAGGGACAGGGACACCTGCCTAGGGAGCCAAGGATGCTCCTGCTGGGCCTGGCACTAATGCAGGGCCTGCTCGGGAGATCCCTCAGTGCTGCCCGGTGCAGGGGGTCCAAGGACAGGCATGTGTGGGGCTGGTCTCAGAGGACCTGTGGTCTGGGCAGCCATGGGGCAGGCTGCAGGGGGCCGGAGGCTGTAGCTGTGGGTCGTGGCTGTGCCAGCGATGGGGCTGCAGGCTGCCGTGCGCCCACGTTGTGGTTTTCTGCCACTGTCCAGCCCACCGAGGCCCGGCCCGGCAGACGCTGCCCTAGGGCCGCCGTGGGAGGACCTGGAGTGTGGGACAGAGCTGTGGGGCCAGCCGGGACCGTGCCAGCTCGCGGCCCAGGGCTGTGCAGTGCTGTTCTATCAGGTTCCTCCCCTCGTGACTCCCGTGCAGCTTGCAGAAAGTGGGGCACTGATGCCATGCCTGGCCCGGTGCCAGGATCCTGCTTGTGCCCAGGCTTGGGGGTAGGGCCGCCGTGGGAGGACCTGGAGTGTGGGACAGAGCTGTGGGGCCAGCCGGGACCGTGCCAGCTCGCGGCCCAGGGCTGTGCAGTGCTGTTCTATCAGGTTCCTCCCCTCGTGACTCCCGTGCAGCTTGCAGAAAGTGGGGCACTGATGCCATGCCTGGCCCGGTGCCAGGATCCTGCTTGTGCCCAGGCTTGGGGGCCCTTTGCAGCTGTTCACCGGCCCCTGCCTGGGGACAGCCACCTGCCTCCCTCTCCCCGTCACTGCTCCGGCCGTGCTCTCGGAGGGCCGGCCTCCTTCCCTGCACCCAGACACTGCCATGAGCTGGGCTCGGGCCATCCCAGGCCTCTGCAGCCCTGGAAGAGCACCATGAGCTGGAGCTCCACGGCATCACGGTCATGGCAGGGTCTCTTCCCCGTTGAGCCCTCGTCTGAGCCCTGTGCAGGTTTTGGCTGGGATTTGGGGTCAGCCCCCGGGGCCTGGCTCTTAGCCCCCGTCTATCTGCAGGAGCCGTCAGGAACTGCTGTCCTGCTGCCCCCCACCCATGCCAGGGACCCCTCTGCTGTGGCACGTCCTCCCAGCCATGCCCCATGCCCACAGGGCCCTGTGTCCAGGCTGGGCGAATGCAGTGGATAGCGTAGCCCCCACACTCCTGGCAAATCTCAGCCCCTGAAATGGAGCCATAATCCAGGGATTAGGGGATTAGCGGTCTTTCACGTGCTTGCCCCCCCTCCCCCATCTGCTTTAGCAGGAAAATCCCTCTCGCACTGAACTCATGCTGAGGCCTCCTGCGCAAACCACTGTCCTGGTGCCGGGCACCTGCTGGGGCTGGGTGTCCCCCATGGAGCAGAGCCCACTGTGGGGCTCAGGATGGAGCAGAGCCCGCTGCGGAGCGAGGCCGGGAGCAGAGCCCACTGTGGGGCTCAGGATGGAGCAGAGCCCGCTGCGGAGCGAGGCCGGGAGCAGAGCCCACTGTGGGGCTCAGGATGGAGCAGAGCCCGCTGCGGAGCGAGGCCGGGAGCAGAGCCCACTGTGGGGCTCAGGATGGAGCAGAGCCCGCTGCGGAGCGAGGCCGGGAGCAGAGCCCACTGTGGGGCTCAGGATGGAGCAGAGCCCGCTGCGGAGCGAGGCCGGGAGCAGAGCCCACTGTGGGGCTCAGGATGGAGCAGAGCCCGCTGCGGAGCGAGGCCGGGAGCAGAGCCCACTGTGGGGCTCAGGATGGAGCAGAGCCCGCTGCGGAGCGAGGCCGGGAGCAGAGCCCACTGTGGGGCTCAGGATGGAGCAGAGCCCGCTGCGGAGCGAGGCCGGGAGCAGAGCCCACTGTGGGGCTCAGGATGGAGCAGAGCCCGCTGCGGAGCGAGGCCGGGAGCAGAGACCGCTGTGGGGCTCAGGATGGAGCAGAGCCCGCTGCGGAGCGAGGCCGGGAGCAGAGCCCGCTGCGGAGCGAGGCCGGGCAGTGGGGCAGCCTCCCACAGCCCAGCCCCAGCAGTGCCCGGTGGCTCTGCCCCGCACTGCAGGGTGCAGGTGCTGGGTGCTGGCTCTGGCAGGCACCGCGGGGGCTGAGGGCCACCAGCAGGGCTCGTGGAAGGAGGTCAGCGCCCTCCAGGGCACAGAGCCAAGACCTGCAAGGTGAGGGCTGGGGAGCATCCATGCTGCAGAGCAGCTGGCCCCGTACCAGGAGAAAGTAAACAATTAATTACAGCCATCAAGAAGTAAGTAACGCCAGCGGGCTGTCATGATCTCAGCCTGCTCCGGAGGAGATGCCGGGAGCTGTAGCCAGCTCCAGCTCTGGTATCCTCCCGGATTAAGTGTGTGAGAGCAGGGTGGAGGGGGGCACTGAGTTGTTCTGAGGGGTCAGAGCAGGGTTTGGTCAGTGCCACCAACTCTGGAGCTGCCCCTGGGTCTCACTGTCCTGCTGAGGCTTGGGGTGAGAGGGGAGGAGGACGTGGGCAGAGCCAACTGGGGAGGGATCGGCCAATTCTCAACCCACCTCAAGAGTCAACCCTGGTTGAATCCCCAGCCTCATATCTGCAGCTTTGTGGCTCTGAGAGGGGGGCTGCCCATGGGGAGCCCTTGAGGCTCTGCCTGCTGAGGTGCTGCTCAGTGAGACATTGCCCTGGGCTTGCTAGAAGCCCCCACGAAGGGCTCAGGTCTGAGCTTGCTCCCATCTGCAAGCATCTTTCCATGCTCTGCATAGCTGCTGCAGCCTGGCTGAGGTCAGAGAAGTGTCAGCAGCCTCTGCCAGACTCCTGGCCCTGCTCTCGAATGTCTGGACGTCCCCTTGTCTGTCTGCGGAGCACCCGGGTGATGGCATCACCCAAGGTACAGCTGGGGCTGCTGCAGGTCCTGCTGTTGGGGCAGGAGGGCTCAGCCCGCCCTTGCCAGCCTGTCCTGCCTGCAGGATGGTCTTTGGAGCGATCCCAGCACCACGCATGAGCTCCCTGCTCTTTCCAGCTGCAGTATCAAGCCTGGCAGGGGCTGGAGTCTTCCTAGGGGGCAGAGATTGCCCTGGCCCCTTGGAGGTCTCACAGGATCCCTTGAAGACACACTAGTCCCACACTGGAGCAGTGCCTGTCCCACTGCCCTCCCACCCCGGCCCCGGGGCTGGGGTCCGCTGGTCCCTTGGGCTCTGCCACGGACTAATTGAGGGACATGCAGTAACCGACCTGCCTACGTCAGCTGAGAGGGGGGACCTGCAGCCACCAAAGTGCCCTAATTCTTCCCCCAGCCTGGCTCAGCGAGGCAGAGCAGCACTGCCCGGGGAGGTGGCGTATGGCTCTGCTACAGCTCCTTCCCACTCCCTCTCCTCTGCCTTGCACTGCTTCCCTCCCCAAAAACCCGACAGGGGATAATGCTTCCTGAATACATGATGAAGTGAGTAGTCAGGCTGGGCTCCGCCGCTGCTGCTGGGAGTGAGTGAGTGTGTGAGTCTGTGCATTGAGGCATCTCTGCACTGCAGCCTCCTCCTACATCCAGCCAGAGAGAAAGAGAAAGGCACAGAGGGAAGGTGGCTTGTTGCAGTGCAAGGCACTGGCCCCTGCGAAGAAGCAAATCCCCTGCAGCCACCCGAGGAAGGAGCGAAGCAGCCCCTGAGCAGGGAGGCAGGCAGCAGGCGCCATGCTGAATAACCTGACGGACTGCGAGGATGGCGATGGGGGTGCGAATCAAGGTAAGCGAGCAGCCCTCGGAGGGCCAGGGGAGCAGCAGGGCTGAAGGGAGAGCTGGGGGCAGGGGCAATCCCCCCGCCCGGGCACGGCAGGATTGGCCCCGCAGGCTGTTTGGATGATCGGTAAAGCCACAGCCGCGGGGATGCAGGCAGGAATGTCGCGTTCATCGCTGTGCATGGTGACAGAGGCAGCCCGCGCCCGTGCGGGCGCAGAGAGCGGGAGGTTGTGCGCCAGGAGCGGGCGACCGCAGCCCCCGGCC